GCTGGCATGCACCGGCTACCGGCTGGCGAAGGCCGCCGAGGAGGCCCGGAGCAGGAAGCCCTCGTGGGCCAGCAGCCTGGACACGCCGCACATCCTCCTGGCCCCCAAGGCCGCAGTGGATACTTAGAATGAGGGGCCGTCGCTCGGCCGGCGGCTCTGGGGTGTAATGTAGCCCGGTTTTCCTGGCTGGGGCGGCAGGAGGAGGGCGAGGATGGCTTCACTAAACTTGCGGGGTGGGGGGGTTGCTTTGTGTGTGCGTGTGTGTGTGTGTATGCGTGTGCACGCGTGTGCATTGCAGGTGAAATCCAGTTTTTCATGTCCCGAGGGGGGCTCCGTGGCTTGCAAAGCCCCCTCCCCTCGGCCATTTCTACGCAATCAATGCAGCAGAGCCTCTGACGGACCCGCCTTCTTTTTTCTATGGGGTTTGATGGCGGGGGGAGCTTGTCCGAATGTTGATCATTCCTTCTGGGGAGTGCGGCGGGGCAGGAGAGGGGGCCTTCCTCCCCTGCCAGAACTGGACGTTCTCTCGCGTCTGCGGGGGAAGACGCACTGGGCGAGGCCTCGGGCTGGGGGCTGGGACGTTGGACTGTCTTTAAGTTTTGGAAGCAGAAATCGTGGGGAGGCAAGACAAAGTCGACGGCTCGCCAGCCGAAGGACGCAGGAGCTGGCTGCGTGCGGGCTTGGCGGCCTGCGGGGTGACTTTCATAAACGTTAGACCTGGGAGGGGGGATGGGGGGGAGCTCGCCTTTAAAATAACCTTTTTCGACTGTAGAAGAAGCCATGACGAGTACTGCTGTTGAACCTTCAGGGACGTGGAGAGGAAGCGAAACCGAGACCCAGATGCCTTTAACGACACCCCCTTTTTGCTCCTTCCTTCCTTCCTTCCTTGGTTCCGGTCTTTGGGGGCCTCCAGACAGAGAAAGAGGTGTGGGCACCCGAGAAGGGGTCAGCACAGGGCGGCCCCCCGCCCTTTTGAATCTTGCCTTAACGTGGCACCTTTGCAACACCAGCACTGGGGACCTGGCCGAGGTGGGGGGCCTTCTCCATGGCGTCTGCCCAAGCAGCAGGAGTGCCCGGGGCTTGAGGTGCTGGGCTCAAGCTGCTACGTGGCCCTTGTGCGGGAAGCGTCTTAGCTGGGGGGACCGCTACGTCTCGAGTAGGGAGGTAAACGGAAAGGTGGGTGGTGGCTTTGGGGGGTTTGCAGGGAGGCAGAGCGTCCCTCTTCTCTGCATTCCTGGGTCCATGAGGGACTTTGCCCTCCCTTGCAAGAGGCGCTTAAGATTCCTCTGGGTTCAGAAGATGGGGGGAGGCTGTAAGTCGTGGTGCCCCTCTTTGAACATCTCTTCTGCCAAGCTCGGCTGTTAGTTGCTTGGGACATGCTTTCTGGGTGCACGGGAGAACGTGTGAATAGAGCCCCGGCCTTCTGCTCGGCCGGCTGCTTCTGGGGGTTCACTTTCTGTAGCATGTGAAGAAAGCCATTGGGAGACCCGCTCGAGGAGGCTCTGAGCAGGGGGGCGCTGCGTGTGTGTTCTGTGGACGGGTGGCGGGCGGGGCTCTGCTCTTAGATGCAGGCGGGCGGCGCGTCCGGCGACGGTGCGAAAGCTCTTCCCTCCCCCTTTGCTTCGTCTCCCCCGCTTGCATGTCAAAGCCTTAGACCCCTTTCTGCTTCGTGGGGTGGGGTAAGGGGAGGGAAGGGAAGGGCCTCCGAGGGTGCCCTGAGAGGAGGGGGGCTGACCGGCGGGCCCAAAACTCAGGAACTGAAACGCACGGCCTTCGTTGACCAGGACTTGCAAACTTTCCTTCTATTGAACCCAAGTGCCAGAATTGATGGGGACGCGGGGTGGGGGGCTGCAGGTTTCATTTGGAGGGCTGGGGGGTGAGAAAGCTGAAACGGGAATGAGCCTCGCCTGGTGCC